GGTAAGGCAGACGTGTCAGAGTGAAGCAATTTCCATAGCTTGAAGAAGCAGTGAGGGGATAGTGAGGACAGTCTGGGTAAGGCACTCAGTTGAATTAAAGTGAGTAAGTAAGAGTTTTATATAGCATTACTTACCATAGAGAGTCTTATAATTTCTTCAATTAGTACTGAGAATTTACATTATCACTTGTTTGTTTAATATGCAATTGTGAATGCTGCAAGCACAATGGACAGTCTGTCTCTTCTCAGCCAGAAAATTGAAATAAGTAGCACAGAAAAAATTTAAAAACAAAACAAAATGTGAATTCATTTGCAAGTGAGAAGTACTTATGCTACTATTACTGAAAATAAATTTTATTGTCTCAAAATATCTCTTAAAATGAGTCCAAAAATCAGAGATGATCAGAATTAGGTGGGATTTAGAGGACTTTTCAATAACTTCATTCTATGTATGAGAACAGCGAAGTTTCAAGAAATAATGAATGCTTGCATCTGAAAAGAACCTGTATGGAAAAGAACCTCTTCTTCTTCCTCTTTTGGATATTCTGTCACTCCTGGTGACAGAATCATCCAGCCCACTGGGCCTCATTTTATGCTAATACGTGAAGTAACAAGTTATCTCCCTGAGTCCATGCCCTCCAATGGAGCACCCTCCCCTCACACTATCTCCTGGACAGCCACTAAACACCCATTGCTGTAGGGAAGCAGGTGTTCTCATTGGAAGAGTGGGACTGTTCATTTTGTTAATTACCAGTAGGGGTGACACACATTTGGGGAGGAGACCCAAGGCCATCTTGGCTGTGGGGGGAAAGGGGAAAACTAGTAGGAAGACGGCATCTGTGCAGGGCAGGCTGGTGCTGGGAAGCAGGCGGGCTTCAGTGAAGTCGCCCCAGAACCTTCTTGCTGAAGCCGTGCTATCTCAGGGTGTAGCACTCAGTGCAGTTAGTGTTTCTTGTCCTCCCTTTATATTTAGTGTCATATTTTTTGAAAATCCCAGCCATGACAGGAGGCACCAAGAGAAAACGATCATAACCCATGCTTAGACCAAAGCCGTCCGAGAGAGCCAGTGCAGCTGGGAGCAGGCTGGAGGAGGCCGCATCAATGGAAGTAAGAGAACCCAAGGGAAAGAAGAAACGGGAGAGGGGCTCAGAGCTGAATTCTACACCTGCTGAGTATTCTTCACGTGGACTTTGTTCTAAAGTCTTGTCTTTAAGCACACCCTCACTTCAATCACCATCTTAGCCTTTTAACTGATCTGTGCCTCAGTTTCCTCAGCTGTAAAGTAGGGGCAATAATACCTATATCACAAGGTTGTGAGAATTTAAAGAGTTAATATGGGTAAAGCACAGGGAACAGTATCAGTATCTGGCATAAAGTAATCCCTGTATAAGTGTTTGCTCTCCTTTGGGGAGATGATACAGGTTAGTAGTTAAAAGCACAGATTCCAGACTCAACCTGCTTTGGTTTGCAACTTGGCTTTGCCATTTACTAGCGGGTCTTTGGGGAAAGACTTCTCCAGGCCTTTTTTTTCATGTGTAGGGCTGTTGTAAGAATTAAATAAGTTAGCACACATAAAGCACTGGGAACACTCCGCAATGCATATTAAGTGTTAGCTGTTAATGCTTATTAAGCATTATCTGTCGCTTCCCCACCCTGCTCACCCACATGTGGCCCATCATTGAATATGGAACTTCTCGTCCAGAGAAAGCGCTCCAGAGACATCAAGAGCTGTGCTCAGGGCCTCTTACCCCCAGCAGGTGCCTTGCCAAGACTACTTGGTCAGCATTCCCTTTGTGCACTCAATGTTCCCACACAACATACAGCGGGATTAGTGGGAAAAGTTTTCCCTATTCCCCTTCCTGCCCTTGGAAGACCAAGGATAATCACTTAGTTAACCCCCATTCTGTTTTCATGAGACCCGTCTTTCTCCTAAGTGGAGGGGGAAACTGTTAAGTCATAGAAGACATTTTGAATTAAATCAAGAATAAAGCCACACATTCACATACCAATTACTTGGGCTCAAGCTGCCAGGAGCTTTTCAAAGTCTCAAGGTCAAAATTGAAAATCGTGCTTTTATCTTGAAAAGCATGAAAGGTTAATTTTGAACCTAAAATTGTAGAGAATTCAGAACTGTTTTTAACTTGATTTTAATTAATAAAACATTTGTTCCTAATGTCTTAAATTTTGAAAAAAGAAAGAAATCCAGTCGACCTTGTAATACAGAAAAAAGAATTCTTTGGTGCATGGAAGAAAAAGTTGTAGCCTTTGTATTCCTAAGAAGTGTATTTTTAAGATGTATTAGAGCACTCTTTTTTGGTACCTAAGAACACAGGGTATCTTAAAAATCAGTAGCCAGAGATTAGCACACTTTCTATCATAATCTCCTTTCTAAACTGTTTCTTAGAAAAATTGTGTTTGAAATACTGTAGTTTTTGTTTGTTGTTGTTGTTTTACTTTGTTCTTGCAATAATCCTGCCCAACATATGTAGCAGAATTGGTAAAACAAAACAAATCAAAACAAATTGGAAACCTTAAGAAACCTGCTAAAAATTTTGTCAGTAAGAAGTGTGATGCCAGCACCACCTAGTGTCCACTTTGAGGAATTGCCACAAATGAAAATGACTAAAACAAGAGGCTTGTAAAAAGACAGTGGCAAAAATGGGCATGGAGACTTTCTTGAACCAGCCCCACCTAGGTAGCTTTGTGGAAAGTGTCTACCTGCTATTAAAAAACACTGTAGGTTCCCCAAAATAGCTTGATTTTTTAAAAAATTTGGTGGGCGAATTCAATTTTGTCTTTTAAACTACTACTGACCTCTCATTCTCCTTTGTCTGGATTCCTTCTCAGCAAAAAAAATCCTTTTGTTGGCAAATATTCAACAAGCCTGATACCTTGCGTAACACAAAATACTTATAAATATGTATATCATGGGACGTTTATGTGTGCATTGTGATGAATAAGTGATTTAGGATATACGTCATTCGGAATATATGTCATCACTAGCAATAATGAGGAGGGACATGGCTTCATTCCTGGTCTTCTAAATGAGAGAGAAATACCATATAACACTATAAGCCAAGAGCTATGTTGCTTTTTTTTCTTTTACATTTTCACGGAACAAGATACTCACTTAAATACTGACTCAAAATTCTGTTTTGTTGCGGTAACTGTCATAAAACATTAGTGAGGGGAGTCATTGTTAAAGAGTAAGATCACCCACCAGCAGCTCATTAGCATGACTGAATTGGCACTAATGTGGTAATTACCATGAACTGTCATTCGCCATCCTAGTGTCTTCTCCCAGCACCAAGAATTGGGGATGTTTGTGAAATCGCAGAGGAAGGCAGAAGACAGCCAAGTTAAGCAATCCAGCTGCCTACCACCTCCACTACCAGGGAATAATGGCAAAAGCATCTGAATAAAAATGGTGACGATGATAGCTAATATTTATTGAATAATTGTTCTTTGCCAGGCATTAGTCAAGTGTTTTACATATAAAATCTCATTTACTACTTCCACGTGCCCCATAAAGTATGTACTATTATTAATACCATTCCACAGAGGATAAAACTGAGACTTAGAGATGATGTAAACCGCCCAAGATCACACAGCTGTGATTAGAGCATCTGAATCCAAAATCCATGTGGTTAACAGTTGAACTCTCTTCCAGGGTTTCTCAACCTCAGGTCTACTGACACATGGACAAGATAGTTCTTTACTGAGGTCTGCCCTGCAGGAGTAGGACGCTTAGCAGCATCCCTGGCCTCTGCCCACTAGACGCCAGCAGCGCCTTCTCTCCCCAGCCCTGCCCCGTAGTTGTGGCAGTCAAAAATATCTCCAGACATTCCCAAATGTCCTCTAGGGGCCAAAATCGCCACTCCCCCCAGTGAAAACCATATAACCCCTCTTTATACTGATTATATAATATCATGTCATTAAATAACTCGCAGCAATATAATTTTAATGGCTATAATACATTGTATTGAATATGAAATTAGTGCTACACCTAATTATTGCTTTTGATTATTTTACAAAGAAAAATAAATATTTGAGAACGTAAAACAATCTGGTTCATTGAAATCTACCCCTTTGGTGTATATTAGGCATAAAAGTAAACTGTCAATGAAATAATAAGTAGGACGTGCTTCATACTGCAGAGACTATCAGCTTCCTTCTTTAAAATGCATCACCATTTTTCACGTGGTCTACTTTAGAGGAAAAAATGAAGAAGATTGTGGCAGTAACAAGTTTCTTTAACAGTGAAGAGTTTATTTGATTACCTATACAGACATGGCCTAAGTCACAATCAAATAAAGTATAACTGCGTGCATATATATCTGAAAATGAAAATAAATTCATTAGTCAAATTTTTTAAAATTCAGAATTCTATTATTTTCCTAAAATGTCTACTAAATAAAAATTTACTAAAGCTTTGGTTTGGGTTTTGTTCATTTTAAAATATATACTTAAATATATATTAAAAGCAAGTACTTTGCTATTTCTACCTACATTATTCACTAAATATTTAAGTGCCTACTGTTATGTTAACTACTTTAGGAAAGATATAAAAATTAAGGTCTGCATTCCTGAGGAAATTATTTTAGGAACTAGTTATATATACACAAAAGCCATAAGAATAAGAACAGACAGTGTAAAGCAACTAGTAAGGTGTTCTGTATAATTCACATTAAAGAAAAATATATGCACACACATACACACATCAAAGTTAAGGAGGATAGTGAAATTCATTTAATAGGCATGTTTCCACAAACAATTTGTTGCAAATTTTGCATTTTAAGAGTCCACATGAAAAATCACAGTATGCATAGACTAGAAGCAAAATATATCAGACAAAAACATCCTGGATCTGTTTAGGTTGTCACACGTTTACTATTTTTCCAAATCTTCTTAGGGTTTGGGGGAAAAAATGGTGTACTTTGGGTTAAAAACTGAGACTTAGAGACATGATGTAAATTGCCCAAGATGAGACAACTACACTCTATCCACGTGTTCTTGACTTTTCTATTATACCTTTTCACCAAAAACCATAATTCCCCACATACTCCATAAAGTTATAAATTAATGGTGCTTGGTTTATATTTACCAAGAAATGGTTTACCCGTTATCATAAAAATGGAATTAAAAATATATCTGGCTAAATAAATCCAAAAGAGAACAGTGTATTTTGTAGGGTTTATAGACAATGATATGTATTTAAGTGACCATACATTCTTAACCTTTTCTTTGGGTGCAATTCGCAAGTGGTCTGCCTTTTAATAACCTACGTTGGACATCATGGTTGCAATCCAACTGAGTAGCATCACAACAAAATGATCTAACACACACATGTTGCTGAGGGCTGCAGTGTTACCATAGTTACTAATAGGTCAAACATCTCAGGAAAGCAGAGCCACCAGGTCTTCCAATGTGCAGAAATTCAGCACTCTTGATAGGTTATAAGCCTTCATTTTTCTTCATTTTTGGGCTTTTCCAATTCATCTTGTGTTGTTTCTTCCTCTTTCTTTTTCACATCTAAAACAATAAATAATTTTCATTCATAGAATAAATTGATATACATTTCATATTATATTGGAATAAAACAGTTGGTTTTTCCTTTATGCACTCTAGTCATTTTCTACTTGATTAGGACACACTTTGCCCTCCATTCAGATGTGGAAACTATTCAAAGAAAAGAGACATGAGTAGGTTGGGGAATCTATGTTCTCCTAGTTACTTTTCTCTCCTATTCTCCAGAATTATTATGAGGCAGGCAATCTTCTAAGGTATTATTACAGTCCCCAATTATAGATTAGTCCTTCGAAGCACAGACAGGTTAAGTGACTTGCTCAAAGTCACAGAGCCAGTAAGTAACAGAGCCACAATTTGGACCCAGGCTGACTGGCTCCATAGTTCACGCCCTTCCCAATCTCCCTATGCTGAATCACACTCTCTCCAGTTTCCTCACACTTTCTACCTCCCTTGCTCTTGGGAGATGATCTCACTTTCTACTTCACAGGAAACAAAAATTGAGGCCATCAGATAAGAGCTCCCTCAACTTTCTGCCACCAAATCTCTAAAACTCCTGTGGTCTGCACTGATTCCTTCCACCCTCCCTCCTAGTACAATGTAAGATGTGCTCCTCAGGACTGGCTAGATAATTTGTTGGAGCCCAATGCAAAGTGAAAACACAGCATGCCTTATTCAAAAAATATGGAAAATTTCAAGATGGCAACATTAGACCTTTAAACCAAGTGCGAGTCTCTTCTGAGCCCAGATCCCTGTGCAACTGCACTGGTCACACTCCTCTGGAGCTGGCCCTGGTGCTGCTTATACCATCCAGGTCTAATTCCTTCATGAACCAGGATCCTATCCATTTCTGCCTCATCGAGAAGCTGACTCTAATGATCACCCCCCTCTCTCCATTTCATCTGACTTTCCCTCTTTCTCTTGGTTCCTTCATTTCCTCAAGTCATTACCGTCTTCAATCTAACAAACAAAGGCCTTCTTTCAACTGCAATTCTTCCACTTATTGTCTTTTCCTTTATCCTTTAAAATGTATCATCTTTTGTTGTCTCCATTTAAAAATAAGACTATTAAGTCTCTACTATTTCTCCATGACTGCTCCTACCAACATCATCAATGGCATCTTTGAAGATAAATCTGATGAACTCTATTCAATTCTTCAACCTTCATTCATGAAATATTTATTAAGCATATATTATGTATCAAGCAGTGGGAAAAAAACATATATTCCAGCTCTCAAGGAACTTCTAGTGAGGGAAATGGACGATAAACTAAGTAAAATGTGTGGCAAGTGAGAAGTGATAAGTGCTACAGAGGAAATTAAAGAATAGGAATTGTGAAGAAGTCTTGGAGCCTGGAGGTTGCAATTTTAGATACAGTTGGCTGGGGATGCCTCACGGAGAAGGCACAGGTGAGTAAAGACCTGAGGAGGTGAGGGAGGGATCTCCTAGCTATGTGGATAAAAGAGAGAAGAGCATTCCAAGCAGAAGGAACAGCAAAGTCCAAGGCAGAAACGTGCAGGAAGGAACTGCAGGTGGGACAGTGTGGAGAAAAATGAGGGGAAAAAAGGGTCAGATTGGTACCAAGAGATTAGATCTCTTAGGTAAAAAAAATGGCAGATTTCTGGACCAGTTTTGAAAGTAGAGCTGAAAATATTTGCTGATGGATTAGATGTAGAGTTGAGAGAAAGAGGGGAGACAAGGATGATTCCAAGATTTTTGGCTTTAGCAACTGGATGTACGAAATCACCATTCACCAAGATGGCGAAGACGCAGGAAGAGCAGGTTTCAGGGAGAATATCTGGAGTTCACTTCAGCATCCATCAAGTTTGAGATTCCTATTAGATACCCAAGCAGAGATGTCAAATAGGCAGTTAAATACATGAGTGTGAAGCTCAGAGGAGCTCCAGGCTGGAGACAGCAAATCAGTGAGTTATCAGAAGGATGATCATTATCCGAGTGAGATTGGGTAATATCACAAGAAAGCAAGTGTTGATAGAGAAGATGCCCAAAGACTGAGTTCTAGTACCATCCAATTCATTAAAAGATACAGGAGATAAGGAAACAAAAGCATGAGGAGCAGCCAGTGAGGCAGGAGAGTGGAATGTCCTGGAAGCCAACGGGAGAAAAGTTTTGAGGGGAAGAAGGGACAGTCAATCATGATAAAACCGCTAAGAGATCATGTAAGGTGAGGACTAAGAATGCACCACAGATTTCAGCAGAGACAACATCATTTGTGATCCTGAAATAGCAGTGGGGTGATGCGGTGGGATGAGTGTCTTACTAGGGTTAGAGAAAAAATGGACAAAGGATTTGGAGGCAGAAAAATAGATAAGTCTTTTGAGCAGTTTTGCGACAAAACAGTAGCTTGAAGGAGAATTGGGACCAAGAGAGGGTTTGACTCTTAGCAATCACACTCAGTTGCCTTCTGATTAATATAGCAAGTTCTTATATTAAGTGCTTACTGAAACAACTCCCTCAGGAAAGCAGGTTCGGTAGGAAATGGTGCTCAAAGCACTAAATTATTTCCAGAATGATTTAAGCAGCATTTGCTACCACAGGTTCTAAGAAAGCTACCCACATAGCATTAGATCTTTCCGAGAAGAGCTGTCAGCTATGCTTTCTCTAAGTTGGTCTAAAGAGGAGATGGTGATACGAAGGCCCCTTAAATAGTTTTCTTGCTAAGAAATCAACTAGAAACTCAAGATAATGATTAGATGAAGACTAGCAGGAGAGCATCTGTTGATGACCTCATATCTTGCTCAGGGCTATCAGCAAAATACGAAATGTGGTTCCAAACACCTCCTATACCAGTCTCATTTTTTGCTTTAAAATATGAAAATGGATATTTAGAAATACATTGAAAGATGACTAGAGATAAAAGGAAACAATAAACTCAAAGAAGTTATGATTGCTGCTAACTTTGTACTGTGATGTTAATAAAAGGAAAACAGTAGTCAAACAAAAAATTATTTTCTTTATAATATTAGGCACTTTCTAGGATATTTATCATTATTATTATTCTTCTGCCTTCTGCACTTGTCAGGTGTTTTCAATATAATATTGAATACATTTTCAGTATATTTCTTCAACATAATCTCTGAGTGTACAATATCAAACTTCCCTTTCAAACCTGTCCATTTCCTTTCAAATGTGAATAAGCTTTGTTCAACACTTGTTTATCTTATTTTCATGATCGTAATTAATAAGAACTTTTGGAAAAATAAGAAAATGCTGGTTCCTAAATTATCTGGGTTGATTCTGTTGTCCAGAAGTATAGCTTTGAAATGATTGTCTTTATACATACATGGGTGGTAACTTGTTTATTTTATATAAACACCACGTTCAGAATGCAATGATGTATCCTTTAGGCAACATACCACTTGAACCATTTACTGAATTATGCTTTTAAATTAATATAGGTTTAAAATACGTTGGGTAGAATAATCTTTTTTTCCCCACATTTTTCTACTTCCATTATCATGTTCTTCTCTTTTTTGTGTCAATTGCTTTTTCCACTCCTTGTGAGAACACGAGGTACAGTGCAACAAAATCAGAGTGCCTCGCAGAACAATAATTCTATCAGATGCTTCTTCAAGGATGGCCAAATAAATGAGGGAAGGAAGTGCTGTATCTCCCATCCTTAGAGGGCTGTAGACACAAGGGTGTGTTAAAGTCTTTGTAACAAAGGCTCTGAGAAGTTCTTGTTTATAAAGGAAACATTCTGAGAAGTGTAAAAAGCCAGGTATGTTTTTACCAGCAATTCCAAACTTATTTGACAACAGCACCCTTTTCTGTCTGTGACATGTTAACATCCAGAAGAATTTCCATGAAATTTTCATTGATAAAAGTTGGCATAATGAGAAAGATGAAGGCCTGGGAGCCAAAGATCCTAATATCACCCAATTTTGTGAGCTTGGGCAAGTCACCTAACCTGCTTGGGGCTTAGTTACGGTAACATCTATGAAAGGCTGGACTTGCTCAAGTTCCCTCTCCTTCTTACATTCTGTATTTCCATATGTATTAAAAGTCTACTCATGTGGCTTGTCAGTTACAGGGTAATTTCATTTGTGCTGTTTTCTCCTCTATCATATAAAAAAGATTCTGAAAATACAAATTCAAATATTCCAAAATGTACATCTCTGAATGTTTCTTTTACTGCTCCCCCAGACCTATATATCCAACTGCTTAACCGACACCTCCATTTGGATGTTCTAGGCATCTCATAGGCATCTCAAATGGAAAATGGAGGAAGCAGAAATCACTCCTTTAACTTTCAAAATTGCCCCTCATCCAGGCTGGCACTTCTCAGTATATGGCATCACCATCTACCCTCTTGCTCTAGGAATTATCCTCCATTTCTCTTCTTCATTATCTGTAGTCATTTCTGCCACATCCAATTCATCAGCAAGCGCTATGTATTCTGCCTATAGAATATACCCCAAATCCATCTACCCGTCTCCATCTTTACTACCTATTTGAAACTTCCATCTCTCACGTGACTACTGCAACAGTCCCCAGGGGTAAAAGTTAACAAAACCCTTTCCCCTTCTCTAAGGAATATTTGACTTGAGTTTAATTTTCTAGCTCTGTTACCCTGGAAACCAGATTAAGGTGGAATGTCAGTCTGGTTACTAAGCTTATGGTAAAAATGACCCAAGTGGTAAAATACACCTGTACAGAGAGAAACTATATAGGAACTAAAAATACCTTGTCAGAAACCATAGCATTGGGCTTCCCTGGACACAACACTCTTCTAACTGCACGTCTCTTGCAGGGAGGCTAGGAAGCAGTGTCCAAAGACTTGTTACAAAGTATTAGCTCCCATAGACATGGGGCTTCTAATCCATTGCCTCCATTGATGCAGATCTTGTCTCCTTGCACCTGAGTTCTCACTTAGTGGTGAGGAGTGGGTGGCAGAGACTAGGCCCCAGGACTGCTATATGGATTGCTGCAAGGACTCCCTTGGAAGATGACTTTGTGATGCTGTCCTTCTGGCCTGCTGTGTTCTCAACCCGTACACTTCTGAGTAGATTGGTGCCCACGTGGTCACGTGGGTCTGAACGTTTAATTTGGCCTAAAAAGATTTCCTAATGGAGGTTGCACCTCTTCATTCAACTATTTCCATTATTTCTCTTTGACAATCTATTCTCCACATAACAGAGAGAATGAACATTTAAACATATATGTCACTCCCCTGCTGAAAATCCTCACATTTAGAATAAAATTCTATTTATTCATCTACGTTTCTAAAGCCCTTGCTAATCTACAAGATCTAGCCCTTGCTTATTTCTCCATCATCTTGTACCACTCTCCCTCTCACCCACTGCCCTCAAGACACAGCAGCAGATTTTATGTTTCTTGACCATGTTCATCTTGTTCCACTCTCAGAACTTATGACTAGCTGCTTCTTCTGCAAAGAACGCTCTTACCTCTGATGTGTGTGCCTGGGTCATTCAGTTGTTATTCAAAACATATCATTGTCAGTTTTCAGATTTCAATTAGGGCTTCCCTAATTTCTCAATATAATGTAGCCACCCCATAACTCTCTACCATAACATCCTATTTTAATTCTCTTGTAGAACATATCTCTGTTGACTTATATACTTACTTGTTTATAATCTAACTCTCCCATTGGAATAGAAGATCCATGACAGCAAGAATTTATGACTGTCTTATTCACCACCATACTGCTAGTTTTTAGAATGATGCTTAGCACTTAGTGGATGCTAAATTGAATGAATGATCAAATGAATAGCTAATGATGGCGGGACGTAAGAAAAGGCCCTTTGTGACATTTACAGTTTCCTGGGCTGTCACCCTTTGTCACCTCTTGCTGATATGTTATAGGCATCATTGTCCTCCCTACTATGGTTATCAATTAAGAAGAGATAGATTAAGACAGATTATGAACTAGGCAAATTTTGGACAGGTTAATTTCACGTAGGATTCAAGACTTTTGAGATCCTAGATTTCACCCCACCCAAGAATATCAAAAAATGAATACAAAGGAGGATATATCTGAAGGAAACCTGCAGATCTTTCCCAAAATTTGTATTTTTAAATGACAAAAACATTGAAATCATAATCCTGAGGTAGACCACAGCTTTCCATTTTTACTAGCAACTGGAAACTACTCATATTAAAATTCTCAATAATATTTGTACTTAACTAATGAAAAAGACGATAGGCCTTAAAGCCACTTATTTATAGCTTTGTTAATAAAGCATTGTCTATGCCATCTACCTATATAAACTTATTGCCTTTTGCATCTTCTTTAACATCTAGTATTATATGTTGATCCACTTTTAACATTTTGAGTTTCTTACTTAATACCTTTGATCTATTTCAAAATGATTTAAAGGAAATTACAAAAATAAGAACAATATTCTTTCAGATAATGGTCTATCTAGTGAACAAAATGAAATGGAGAAGACAGCTCTCTTACAGTGCATTTGTTCTCTTTTGCTTAACTAAGTAATGTCAATAAGCATTATATTTAGGGTATATAAACTTAAATAGGCCTATTATACTAGCAAGTAACCTATCTTCTCCACCCTAAAAGTTGAGGATGGCCCACCAATAGCAACATCATGTTCTGATAATCACATTACATTTTTAAAATAAAAAGGCCAAAAACATTACACGTTTTTATTTCTTTTCTTGTTTTTATTTCTTCCATCTTATAATAGTTTGTGCGTATGTGTATATTTTTTTACTATTACTTGTAGTATCCTATAGGAGAAACACAATGACCTCTGGAAAACGTGAAGTAGCCATGGGACTCCAGGATTTGGCCACAGTCCTGGCCTACATGGATGTATGTATTTCATAGGGATCAAACCAGGAACATTTGTAACTTCATCAGGTAATAAATAACCTCCTGAGGCAAAGAACCAAGAGCCCTCCTCTCGGATTCACATGAATGGGTAGATGTGCAGAAGCTTCTAGCTCTCTCTTGCCTCATTGCCACCAGGAATAAATTTCTACACACACACTGGAGTCCACCTTGAAGTCTAAAATGGGGCACAGGGCATAGGTATTTTGGTAATGACTTGGAACTAAAGTTATCTTTAACCGGTATGAATATTTTTAAATGAAGGGACTCTTTTTATACTTTATTGAGAGTATTGTTATACTTATTTTCAGAAGACTAACCTCTGGAAGCTCTATGAACTGTATGTAAGCAGTGGGGAGAAAGACCCAAGATTGCCCTTCATTGGTTTGACAGCTATCCTTTTTTCTTAATTCAACTTTTTCTACTGGTTGAAGAATGATGGCCTTTTGTACAAATATTCACCTTAAAGATCTCATCTCCAGTTGATAATAAACTTCTTCTTAGACAGGAGAGGTAGAAGGGCTTGTAGAATGCTATAGTGAAGCAGAAGCCTTCAAAGTGATTCGTCAATGGATAGCAGAAGAAAAATTATTTAATTTCTGAGTGCTTTTCGATACATTTTGTAAGCTCATTGAGGGAAGGGATCCTATTTATCCACCTTTGTATTCCCAATCACTAGCCCTGTGCGTGACCACACATAGCCAAGGATGAAACAAATGTTCAGTCTCCACATACACACCATGAGATAAAAAGATGAAATCGTTAGCTTTCAGAAATCCACTTAGCCTTAAATAAAAGCTGAGAGGTTTTAGGAAACAAGTAAGAACAAAAGAGCACTTTTAACTCGTTAAAAGGGACACTGTTCCAGAGGAAAGGATTGATAAAGAAGAGGTAAGCGCTGCTGATTTTGTGAGGATCTTGTGTGTTACCTTCCTTCATAGAGAGGGCCTCCAATTTGAGGGGCAGCTCTGAGCTTCCGCCTGTCGCAGCTGAGCCCTGGATGTCTGGTACAGCATTCCGGCGGCCTGTCCTTGCGGAAGATGCAAAATTGTTGACCACGGGCTCCACATCAGTCATTTTTGAGGAATCTGTCCTCATAGCAACATCTACAAATAGAACGGCACATGAAGAAGAGGATGAGCCTATCAGAGGTAAATGTTCGCAAGGGTGGTTGAAAGGCACGACTAGATCAAAAACACAACAGCCTTCAGAATTCATCACACCCTGCGCCTCTGTCTACTGTTACGGTCCTGGAACTTCCATTTGCACATTCACACATTCAATAGAGCAGGAAGTTCTCAGTGTGAGCCAGACTGCTATAAATAACCCCTGAGCGGAATGAGCCACTTGGATGCTGCAGGGTGCAGTAATCTCTCGCCTTTTGTTCTGCTTTTCTTTGGCTGGATCAGCCACACGAGGGCTTGGAGGAAATAAAAACCGACTCGTCTGGCCACTCCCGGAGAGGCTCTGCCTGCCAGTATCTGCTTGTAGAGCTTGTTCAGGCTGAAACCAAATCACTATAATTTGTAGGGACCAAACAAAACACACTCTGTTCCCAACTCTTTAGAAATAAGAAATTCCACTTTATCTCACAGGCTTTTTTCCCCGGTGACAGCTGCATATTTCTCTCTATTCTGGTCTCAGATCTAATTTTGAATAGGCTTATGTTCATGTTCAGGAGAGTAGGACCTGTTTTACCTTTTCTTGCCTTCAAGTGGATGTGGTGATTACTAGTGCTTTCCTGAGCATCCTTTATCTTCCCAGCAATTGTCTCTCTCCATGAGAGAATTCTCAAGAGATCATTCACTATACAGGGAGGGAGGTAGCAGATACTGCTTATTCTAAAACTAACCCTGTTTCATATGATGTCTTCTAATGAATCTTTCCTAAGAAGTCAACACTGAACACTATCTCAAAAGCAGCAGCAGCAGCGGGATTTATGGAAAACCTATTAATTGCTAGGCTCTCAGCTGGACATTGAGAGTACAGAGGAATGATACATTCTCTGTTTTTAGGGGCCTTACACTCTCAGAGGGGAGAAGGAAAGGATACACGCAACGACAGATAACATCATAACATAGAACGTACTGAGTATCAACCCAGGGATGGAGACAATCATCTGTGGTACTCGAGGGCAGAAATGGGTGAACCTTGGCCTACACAGAGCAAACCAAACTTTCCACTATAGTTGGAAGGGAGCCCTTTCCAACTGCTTAACTTCAATTCTGGAAATGCTAAAAATGAAGCGAAATGGTCACAAAACATGGTGCATCTGATATCAGAAATGCAACTCCTTTGGTCCACAGCACCCAAGAAATGCACACTGAGCCTAGTGGGCCTCAGGAGTTCAGGAGTGGTCTAGGTTACTTTCTCACATACCCTTATCTTTCCATGAACCATAGAAAATTTGAGAACAATGCTAGATTTTTCAGACACCATTTTCCAATCAATTAGACTTATGTTTAATATGTACTGACTGTCTGGCATCAACAGACAGCACAGAGTAATGCAAAGAGCACCGGACTATTAGTCAAAAAGAACTTCACTCCATTACAGGCTTGCAAGGCGATACTGGTTAATCCACTTAATTTCTCTGAGTCACAGTTCCTCCCCTATATAATGAATATAAAAAATTAGCCTGACTGATTCACAGGATTCTTGAAAAGAATTAATGAGATTAAAGTATATAGAAACTCTTTGTAACTATAAAACCATATGTTTAATTATTGACATCAGTGTTCACATCTCATTAAGTTTTATTTACTTTACCACCCTCCTATGTATCCCTTTTAATCCTAACAAGAAACATCTTCCTACTGGCAGACTTCTTGAGTTTTCAAAAAAGAGGGAAACCAGAATTTATTTGACATTGCATGAACACTTTCATTATCTATTATCTCATTTAAACCTCCAATAATCCTATGAGGTAGTGAGGAATAACCCTCACCATGTGGATGTGGAAAACTGGGGCTCAGGGAGGTTAGGTAACTAACCTGTGAAAGTTGCACAGCTGCTAATCTAGCACTCAAGGATGCATATCCAGTTTAAGATCCTCTGAACGCAAGATGACATGGATTACCACAAAATTACCTCTTCAAATCCCTGTGATACGCATAGACAGCCACACAATAGCTACTTATATTAGGGCACACAATAGTTTCTGCCCTTCATTACTTTTTTAAATAGGGAAAATTATACACACACACACGTGCACACACACATAATTGTTTGTGCATGTGTGTGTGTTTGAAAGACAGAGAGAGAGGAAGAGTCCGCGCCGTTTCACAGGTGTTCCTCTCTGGCTTTAATGTTTGGTTATCTTGTGAGCCCCCCATGATACATGCATCTCAGTGAAAGAGCTCTTCTCTACAGCTTGTGAGAAGTACCTGACACTAGTTTGGAAACAGATCCCATTTGCAGACCTTCACTCTGTCCTCAGCCAATTAATATCACATCAGAAGCCATGGCTGTGATCAAGTGTTTATTTCTGTGTAACTGCAAGTAAGTTAACTATGCTAAGCTTGGAGAAGCAGCTCCACAAAGACCTTGATTATCACTGGCTGATAGTCTAAAAGCTTAAAACTGAAGATAACAATGGATATACAAATATTAAGGCATGTTATTTTAAATACTTAAATGCTATATATTTTAAACATGATGGGTAAACTTTTTTAGCAAGATGGGATATATTAAAAGAGTATTGAGTTAGAATTTGTATATTGAAAGAGAACTTCCAAATGGTGGTCTGTCGAGTAGGCCATTAACATGGAAGAAGAAATTCTGGGCTCCAAGTTTATTTCAACATTTCTTTGCTGCTGGCTGCTATTTTGGGATTTTTTGCTTTTGCCTTTATATTATTATTTCAGGCACAGGCTATCTAAATTAGCCCTTCTCTGTCGATCGGTACTAGAAAACAAGATCATCACAAAACTATCTAAAAGTTTGTCAAAGTTATACTCATTAACAACCATTTTAAGATCAAAAGCAGAACTGGATATGCAGGAAGGCCAAGCCACAGGCTGTTTTCCTCTGGAGCTTTCCTCAGTCTTTCCCAGCGCTCTCCCAGCACCATCTTTCTTTCAGAGCCTGCCACTAATGCTGAGTGACCAGGGGGTCATGCTCTGCCACAAGACAGACCATTCACCTAGCGCAGCCTCAAAGGGCAGCGGGGAGAGGGAGCTTTCTACTGGGAAAAGTCATCTGATCTTCCTGACAGAATGTTGATGACTTAGAGATTGCTGGCGGGAGCACTTCAACCACAGACTGATTCTTAACTGGGCTCTTTTAATTCCCTGGCAAGGAGATTTATTGCAGCATTGGAAATAACCTGAAAGCCCATAAGAAAAAGAATGGTTGAATAAACTATATATATTATATGATGGAACATTGTACAGCTATCATAAAGACTGTGTTAAATCCAGTTAGATCTACCTATGGAGATGTGTTCATGATACACTGTGAAATAAAGCAAGTTTTAAAAGTCATATTTACAGTATAGGGGAAAAAGAGGGAAAGGTAATGAATATAATGTGATAACTTTGTAAAAAGAATAAAAATCCTACTTGGGAATGTAAGAGAGAACAAGGAGAATGTTAACCATTTTTTGGTACACCTTTACATATTTTAACTTGTAATAATGAGCATATATTACCTCTGTAATTTAAAAGAATTGAAACACAATCGCCTTGCAAAATTATAAATACACAGATATTTTAGCACAGAAAGACTGTAAAAGAAACATTTTGACAATTTAACCAAAAATAGCATATCTTTAAGTGAAAGCCCCTCTCTCCCCCAAATAGCCACCTTACTTTGTTGTTATTGTCCTATGCAATCTGCATATGCTTGATTTTTTTCCAAAGGGATGGTGTGTGTATGTATATATATGTATATATGTATATGTATGTATATATATGTATATATGTATATGTATGTATACATATATATATAGAGAGAGAGAGAATTGCTCTCTTCGAATGCTTTGTGACATTTAAAAATTATATAACACATACAAAGATGAGGAAACACTACAAAGAAAAACAAGAGAGATTGACTCCCAGGTTCTTTTAATTTTCTGGGCTTAAAAAGCTAATTATGTTCATGTTTGCTAACCAAGGCAGCTGACTCACTAGCAACTCTTCCTTTTTTTCTTCTACAGAATTAGCAGAGGAATCAGGATGAGTTCTGCTTTGTCCACTGTGGCTGCTTAGAGGAGCCAAAACCACATGGACATTTGGAGATTCCGCAGAAGTCCTTACATGCCCACAGCAAGGTAATGCGATTTGCATCACCCGGGACACACTTCCGTCTCTATTGAAAATACACAATCTTCAGGCTGCCTTAATAAAAGACCATTACACAGTCATATGGACACACACATGCCAGCATCTCTGCAGTCTCCAAAGTATTGAAAATGCAACACCAGCACAACCAAAGAGGACAAAGATGTTCAAACTAAATGGAGCACTGGAGAAACATAAATATATATAAAAAATCACTAATAAGCTCCCAATGGGCTCAAAAGAGCCTGCTAAGAAATAAGCACGTTAGGGGCCGGCCCGGTGGCTTGGCGGTTGAGTGCGCGCGCTCCGCTGCTGGCGGCCCGGGTTCGGATCCCGGGCGTGCACCGACGCACCGCTTCTCCGGCCATGCTGGGGCCGCGTCCCACGTGCAGCAACTGGAGGGATGTGCAGCTATGACATGCAACTATCTGCTGTGGCTTTGGGGGAAAAAATAAATAAATAAAATCTTAAAAAAGAAATAAGCACGTTAGGATGTTATAAGCATAACTATAAACAATTAGAAGTTTTGCAACCTCTTTCCCTCCCCACTGAGACAGTCCATCCTCTTAGCTCACATTCATTCTTTTCTCAAGCTTCCTTACTTGAAGCGCAGACTGCGCTTCAAGATATGGATCTCTGGATCCATATCACTCACCCTAACTGCCAGAGTGAAACCACTACTCAATTCTGCATGTAAGACTTGAAATAAACTTCTTACCCACCAAATCAGTTCTCTGAGGGTATGAGTCAGGCAATCTGAAAATACACTAAATTAACAAAGAAGGAAGAACATGCATTTTGGAAAGTCAGTGCTTTTCCTGGCC